TATTTGGCCCTTTGCAAGAAAAACACATATGAGCACACAGTATGTATTTGCACTAAAAATTTCCAGGACTGTAGTAAATTTTTTAACAGGAAAAGACTGTTTTCTCATGTTTATAAAAAGATTAGGATATTGCTATTCTTCGTTTGTTCAAAGCAAGATCCCAGTAAAAAATTAATGTGTAGTTTCTGAAAATTATAAAAAGGAAAAGCACTGAGAAAAGACAACTTCATGGAAGCAGATACTTGTAAGATTTTTTCTCAAAGCATCATCGACAATTCAGTTGATTACATATGCAGAAATGAAAATACATGTCTATTTTATATTTCAATTCCCCTGTCAATGACAAAAAATAAAAGGCTCGGGTTTGGACTCTTTGTATCATGTTTGAATTACAGGAAGTACTGCACAGAATATATTTTTAAATCTGCTTTTTAAATTATTTTCAATTTTGATCTGGACATTGTTTTCAAAATTAGTTACTTGCTAACCTCTTATGAAGAAAAAATTCTTTGTGTTATATATGAGTTATAAAGAGATCAAAGGGTATATATAGAGGTAGGAATGACTTTAAGTCTTGGCAAGATGATTTGGAATTGCTTTGTGTCTAAGATAGGACTAGAACTCAAGATCTCCCACTGTTCTAGTCTGCTGCCTTAACCACTACACCAAATTGATCTCATTGTATGCATGCCCTTTTTCACATTTTATACATTGCCCCTTTAAAATATTAGCTTCTACTGTTCATTGTCCACAACATAAAATGCAATGTAATATTCCCTACAGCTTCAGGCATCAGCAGGCCAACCTGAAAATTTAGAGATCTCCATCTCTCAAAATTCCTAACCTACCTGGACAAAAACCATATTATCTAAAAATTACCTAATCTGTTTTCCAAATTCAACTGGATAATGTAACACTGAAGAAAGCTATTAACAAGAATCCTTTTTGTTAAGTCTGGGAGGATGGGTCCAAGAACGGAGACAAGACTCAGATAGCAACAACAGCTCTTTATTAGTGACTTCAGATCTGAGCAAACTATCCCAGCCGCAGCAGCCCCTTATATAGGGCTGGCTGCGGCTAGGCAGCCAATGACGGCGATTTGAGTTTGCTGCGCTTGGTTAGCCCAATCGCGGCAGCCCGCTAACTAGCCAATCGGATCAGTCTGAGGCGACCAATCATGACCCGCTGCTAGCGGACCAATCCGAATTGCAGGCTTTCAAGCTTGCTACTCCGGAACACTTTTCAAAAGACTGAAAAGGTGAACAAATGCTCGTCCATTCTAAGATACTTTTGCAATATTTTGAGTAGCAAGAAGCAGCCAAAGCATATGCACAATGAAATTAGTTTGACTTTCAAATTCTTAAGTTTGGTATGTTGAACAAAATATATCAGGATCCCATCTATGACAGTTATCCTAGAACAAAAGTCTTTCTGGTTCAACATCTCACCTTCCACAGTATTAATTCAGAAACAGGACATTTTATTTTATTTTATTGATTGATTTGATTTGATCTGTCAATCGCTTACAAGATAATAAGAATGAGTAAGAATACAGCAAATAGCCAATCCCTTTTCTTAATTCCCTAGCAATTGATAAGAGCTTTTATTTAAAACTAGAAGGAACATGTCAGACAAATATGATTACTCATTGTTGGCTGGTCTTTGCATGATGCAGTGAATACAAATTGTATTTGTTCAAATTACCCCATCTAATTAGTCCATGATTCAATGTGTTGTGCAAACCCAGAACTAGGGATTATTGACTAAGCAATATTTCTGTAACATATGGGTAAACATATCATATAAACTGAGCCACTGATCTTTATGCTCATTTTTAAAGGCACTTAAATGGTATCTTTTGGTGAAAGAAAAGTAAAGTAAGTGTAACAATCCCTTACTAGTTTATTTTAAAAACAAAACAAAGACAAAAAAGCAAGAAATCCTGTTGCTGAATATTTCAACCACATTGCTATGGTGCTATAATTTCATTTCTCTAACAACAGAGTGTGGTTTGCAGCTAAAAAAAATCTGCCTGCCTCTGCTCCGCAAAGAAAAGTATTTGGACAAAATAAATTTACTATCTAATATAAATACATGTGTCAGAAGGGGGGGGGGAGTCAAGAAGTGAGGGGAGCCGAATGTCAACTCATAAAACATTTTGTACACATGTTTTATAGTTGACAACAGAAAGAAGGGGGGGAGTTTCAAAGAGCAAGCAGCAGCGTGGAATCAAAAGTACATTCCAATTCATATTTTCTTCAAACACTGATTAGATGACTGAAGCTTCTGCTGCACAGAAATCTAATTGGAGAGCATGATCGATGATTATGGATGTTTTTCTTTGGATGAGACACCCAGAGTGGTGGTGGGGAAAGCAGAATCAAGGGTGACAGTGAATTATGTATCTCAGAGTTGGCTACACCCAAGTAAATGCTGGACATAGAATGTTACCTTAGGAGTGTAGCTCAAGACTCATGATTTAATTGAAGTAACTGCCAGAATCCTGACAACATGTTCATATAAATGTAATATTACATTTATATTAGGAAAACCAATAGTACACATATAGACTGGGTGAAACTAGGTTTAATAGCAGTAACTGTGAGAAGGATCTTGGAGTCTTAGTGGACAACCAGCTAAATATGAGCCAGCAGTGTGCAGCATCAGCCAAAAAAGCCAATGCAATCTTAAGTTGCATTAACAGAGGGATACAATCAAGATCAAGTGAGGTACTAATACCACTCTATAAAGCCTTAGTAAGACCACACCTAGAGTACTGCATCTAGTTTTGGTCACCACACTATAAAAGAGATGTTGAGACTCTAGAAAAAATACAGAGAAGAGCAACCAGGATGATTAGGGGTGTCATGCCCTTGTTAGAGTCAGACTCTGAGGGAGAGGAGGAACAGCCGACAGGGAGTGAAGGTGTGGCTCCAGAGGTTGTGGAGGAGTCTGGGGAAAGGCAGAGGCTGGCTGGGCAGTCAGAGGAAGAACCAGGCCCATCCCCTCTTCATCCTAGGACACACAAGGAAGAATGGAGAAGGAAACAACTTGGCTTACAAGAGAAAAAGCGGCTATGATCCCCCTCATTGGTTGCAGCTGGGGAGAATAGTATATAAGAGAGACGGTTTCAACACAGCATTGCCAGAAGCAAAGTGTGTTTTATTTTGGGCTAGAGTTATCTTGGTTGGCATCCTTCCAACAGACTGTGCCTTGTTATTTCCTTGAAGTTGGTAATTATTTATCCTGTTCCATTGGGGAATTCCCTTCATTGTATAGTTTGTTTTGGGTTTTTTATTTCACCTCTATCTGCTCATTAAATTCAGACTGTATTGCTTTCTTTTAAAGACTATTTTTGAATAAATTTTATCTCCAACTGAGAATTATTGAACAGTGGGGCCAAGTTGGAGGCATTAAAGGACATTTATTTATGTTTCGAATTTTGTTACGTTTGCATTACACTCTGGGTCATCACAAGGGGACTGGAGGCTAAAATAGATGAACAGTTACAGGGACTGGGCATGGCTAGTCTAGTGAAGAGAAGGACCAGGGGAGATATTTGAGGGGCTGCCATAGAGAAGAAGGGGTCAAGCTACTTTATAAAGCACCTGAAGGCCAGACAAGGAATAATGGATGGAAACTGGACAAGGAGAGATTTAACCTGGAAGTAAGGAGAAATTTTCTGACAGGAAGGACAATCAACCAATGGAACAGCTTGCCCTCAGAGGTTGTGGGAGCGCCATCACTTGAGATTTTCAAGAAGAGGACACGTCCGGCTTGTGGTGCTTCGGTGCAGGCAGGATTCCGTGACTCTGCACGGGTTCTGCCTGTGTTCACTGCCTGAGTGCCTCGAGCCATTTGGCTTCGGGGCTAAGCCACCTTTGTAGAAGGTGGTGAAGACTGGGGGGTTCTGGCAGGGACGAGAGACATCGCATCTCTCTTCCCTAGCTGGCTAAATCTCCCTCTCCGACGGCAACTGAATGGTGATCTTTTATGGCCGCCATTTAGAAGAGCCCAGCCGGGGAAAGAAATGTGCTGGAGGGGTTTGTGAAGAAATGAAACTGATTTTGCTGACCGGGACAAAGGAACAGTGAAAGTATCCTGGTATTTAACACCTATTAAAGACACATTGTTCCCAGACTGAGTAAGCAGCGAATGGATATCAAAGGGAAAACTTTTTTTTCTTTTCACTCTCCTTCCAAACGGAACAGCTTTGAGAGAAATCGGAAACCCGCATTGAAGGTATGCTAAATGCTAAAGACTGTGCTAATGCCAAAGGGATATGGATTTCTAAATTTTTAAAGAAAATTTTTTCTTCTGCTGTGAGTGGGAAGGGAGAGGAAAAAAAAATTGAATTTGAGAATAAGGAGCAGACTGCCTAGAATTTTAAAGAGCTATTTGAACATTAATAAGACTTCAAAAGACATATTATAATTGGAATTTTGTGATTTAATAGCAACCCAGAGATTTTCAAGAAGAGATTGGACTCCCATCTGTCAGAAATGTTGTAGGGTCTCCTGCTTGGGCAAAGGGTTGGACTAGATGATCCACAAAGTAATCCAACTCTGATTATCTGTTATCTATTATCAATTAATATAAGTACTTTTGTTGCCCATGTAAAACCATCCTATGTAATATATTTCATAGAAGGAAGCATTATGTATATTGCTAAAATGCTGCAACCACTAAGCTAAATCTGGTTAATTCTGCAATTCATCCACAAAAATGGAAAGAAAAAGTAGAATTACAGATCATTTCTCTAGTTTTCATTCCACTGAAAATTGCCCTGATATAGCACTGTACTCTCAAAGTAGTAGAAGAATTCAAACAGTAGTATGTTTCAAGTTAGAGAGTTAAAAATACAATTTTATTATTTTAGTATATCACTTTAGTATATAGTATATCATATTTTCATTTAAAGTTCTTCTGCAGATGATTTTGTAGAATTAAAAAATAACATACTAAGCTTATGTGTGGGGCTCATTTACAAATACCCTTACCTGAATTTGGCATATTCTTGTGGCCTTCTATTCCAGGTACAGTTCTGCAGTTTACCAACTATTTGTAAATAATAATCTTCAGAATATCTAAAAGAAAAAGAATTAAACACAGATGGTTATATTAACATTTCTTTTTCAACATCTGATGAAACAGATATGTAGAATTGAAAAGACAAGCTTGCTAAGAAAACAACCTGGTTTCCATTATAAGAGAAAAAGTAACTTACTACAAAGTTTTACTTTCTGTGTGACTTGTATTTTATTTATTTACATTTATATAGCTGCCCATCTCATAATCAGCTGACTCTTGACAGCATAGAACAAAATTAAAATATAACTAATTGTATCCACTATAGGATACACCTATAAAACAGGTGTATCCAACCTTTTGGCGTGCCTCGGCTGCATTAAATGAATTTTGTATATAATATAGTTAATGTATAAAACTGCCTCGCCCCACTGGGATTGGCCCATATCACTCATGTCGGCAGAGAAGGTGTGCTGTGGCTCCCATCAGCCTGATTATTCCAGCTGGTGGGGTCCAGGAGGATGCACTTCTTTGCTGTGCTCCTGCCCTTTAGAACATCTTGTCTCTCAATGTGAGGTTGCCAGTAACCATCCGATGTTTTCGTAAGGGTCTAAAGCTGAGATAGGATTCTTTTTTTTTTACTATGGGTTCTGTGGGTGTGGCTTGGTGGGAGTGGCAGGGGAAGGATATTGTAAAATCTCAGAGGTGGCATTTGCCGGTTCTCTGAACTACTCAAAATTTCCGCTACCAGTTCTCCAGAACTGGTCAGAACCTGCTGAATACCACCACTGGTCTAAAGACGTAGCTTTGCCAGTTGGCTTGGGGACACAGTGGGAACAGTGCAATGGACGTGGTTGATTAGTAATAATAGATCCCACCTCTGCTCCACTCCACCCCATCCTTCCCATGTGTGTCTTTGGTTTTAAGATTTTTTAACATTCTATGTTTTAACTAAGATGTAACAGTAAGCTTCCCAGAGTTACCCTATGGTAAGATGGATGGCCAATAAACAAACAATCAAATGTGGCCCTTGGGCCAAGGGTTGGATCAGAGGTGTATTCAGCAGGTTCTGATCAGCTCTGGAGAACTGGTAGTAGAAATTTTGAGTAGTTCAGAATACCATCTCTGACTGGCCCCACCCCTATATATTTTCTGTCTCTCAAGTCCCAGCTGATCGGCTGGGTCTTCTTTTGTTGCCCTGCACAGGAGAGTGGAGCTGGAAAGCAGGTTAGTGGGATGGGGAGGGAATAGAGATTTTACAGTATCCTTCCCCTAGGAGAGGGGAGGGAATGAAGACTTTACAGTATCCTTTCCCTGCCACACCCAACAAGCCACACCTACCAAGCCATACCAGGTCCACCAAACCACACCCACAGAACCAGTAGTAAAAAAATTTGAATCCCACCACTGTGTTGGATATACCTGCTATAAAGGATACTGAATTTTTTTTGAATGAAGGAATGTATGCTAATATTTTAAATTGATGAAATTCTACAAATTGAAATATTACAGCATAACATAGGCACAGGAATTAGGGAATTAATGAATTTATCATATCTAGTAGGACATAATAAGAACTTTTAAAATAATTCAGCCAGTAGATTTCAAGTAATTATACACGGCACATTGTGATGTACCTTGTGATGAGAGTTTGACCCTTTATTTATATATAGGCACATACAAAGTTTTAGATGCCACTTAACTGAAGTAGAAGGCCTTTACAAAAATACTATCCAAATAAAAATACTGAATTTCAAAAAAAACAACCCACACAACCAATTGAAGGCAGCTCTTTCACCATTCTCAATTGCTATTTATAGATTGCCCATGTCTTTCTCATCCACTTGCTATATTTGTTCAAAGTGCAGCCGAGGAAATAATAATTTATTTATCATGGGAATTTAAAATTATGCTTCCTGTTTCATATCCAGAATAAGAGGCCATGTATTCTACTTTACATATACATCACAATTCTTAATTTAAGAATGATCAACCTCTTCTTTCAGAAGCAAGAAATATTTTTGAGCTAGGATTTAATATAAATAGAATTAACACTGAGTTGACTGCATATCTTAATGTGATTATTCCCGTTGAACTGAATGATTTCTGTCTTCCATCAGGCACCCATGAACTTCATGGTTATGTGAAAGCTTTTCCAATGAATTCTGAATGGGATATACATTTCACTGCACCAGAGAACAGTCTAAATTTCTTCTAAAGAAAGATCTGGAAATCCTGCCTGAAACAGATTCTTAGACAGGGATCTTTTCCTATTTTTGTGGCAAAGATATCTTCTTGTTGTTGAACCAGGTCCTTAAAACATTAATGAGAAAGACAATCTCTGTGAAGGCAACATAGAATGGCACATTGCCTTGAATTTTCATTGATTTATTTCTTGGCGTCTTTCCACAAGCTTTTGTGTCCAAAGCTAGTGTTCTGAATAAATGAACATTTATCTGCTGAGACACATTTTCACAGAACATCACATTCATATGCAATGAGCCATCTAAAGGTTAGAAAGATGGCGACAGAATAATTTGTTTTTCCTATAATAATGCATCTTGCACAGAGAGTTTGTTCAAATGTAAAAAACACAAATTTAGTGGGTTTGGGTTGAGAATTAGTTTTCTTTAGAGTAACTATGCTGAAATCCATGGAGCCTATGTATGCTATTAGTATTAATAACTTGAAAGTCCCATATAACATAGTTCAACTAAGAGGGATTTACAGTACAATCTTTCAAATATTTTTAAATTTTATTTGTTAGCATTTTAATACCATATTCTGTGGCATAATTAATATTTGTTTTACTGCAAAGCCTGGATAGCCACAGATTCTCTGTCTCTCTTCTATTTACCTACTCAATTTCTACTATAGATTTAAAAACAGGGCCTAGTGCAATTTACTACCAGCAATGGCTTGCAGCAGGCCCAATTAGCTAACCCCATAGATTTGTAATTATACTGTAATTCAATAGGGTTCCTATAAATTTGGGGGATGAGAAAAACCTAATCCTACCTGGAATAAATCATTATATGATTTGGCTTTCTTTATATAACCATTCATGCAAAAATCTCTATATTCTATAAATGAGAACTCTAAGCAGGGCAAGGCTCAAATCACTTGCAGAGCAATTTAAATGTTGGAAGAACTGAAAATGGGCAATTCTACCAGAGAAGGGCTATAACTTCTCAAGCTCCAATCACAACTCCTATTCCCAAACAAAATTTGTAGCATGGATTAAAATACTGCCACATCTTTTAAGTCAGTAAAAAGCCAAAACAACAAATAGCAGTAATGTTTCTGATCAGCTTTTTTCTTTCTGTCGTCACAGCCAAGTTGGAGCATGACAATCCAGTTATTATGCAGCCAGTAATGGTTCATCTAAAATGCAAGGGTGGGATTCAAATTTCTTAACAACCAGTTTTGTGGGCATGGCCTAATTTGTGGGTGTGGCTTAGTAGTCATGTGACTGGGTGGGTGTGGCTTGTATGTAAATATTATAAATATTTATGTAAATAATTGAATTATTTTTATTAAAAAAGCAACTTTTACCCAAGATCAGGCAAAGCAGGAAGGCAGATTGAGTTGCTCACAGAATCACAGATTCAGAGATCTATCTTTCAGCCATTGGCTAACACACCATGTATGTAAATATTGAAATTTTTATTTTAAAAAAAGAACTTTTACCCGAAATCAGGCAAAGCAGGCAGGCAGACTAAATTACTCACAGAATCACATATTCACTTAGAGATCTACCATTCTGTAATCTATTGCCTGAGTCTGCACTGAAAAATAGAAGCTTCAGTCCTAAGGAAGGTTCAGCTCTGCTTTTACATTAACCAGAAAACAAGAAACCCAATGATTTCCTGCTTTCTAGCTAATCTAAATCTCCTAGCACAGCAGAATAGCTGATGGGAGGCGGGGAGGGGGAGGAAAAATAGCAACTTACCAAAAGACAGGCAAGTTGGAGTCAGTAGGCGTGGAGGGGAGGTCCAGCTATTGGCACGATTTGCCGGTTCTCTGAACTGGGCAGAATCATAACAACTGGTTCTATAGAACTGATCCAACCAGGTAGAATCCCACCCCTGCTAAAATGGCACACAGGTCCTATAAGACTCCTTATAAATATCATGGCAAAGTATGTAACTTCATTTCTTTACACTTGATTCAAGGATCAACAGAGCATACATAAATGGGACTATAATTAAAGAGGCATTTGTTATGTATTGTATATAGTGTATAGTTGTCAGTTGAAGATCTCATTCTGGTTGTCTGTGGAACGGGAAAATACTCTCTCCTGATTGGTCACTTGGATGATCGGTTTCCTATAAAAGGAGCTGTGTCAGCCAGGGAGTTCAGTTGCCTCACAGGCAGTATTGAATAAAGAGCTGTTAGAAATTACTCTGGCCTCACCTCCATTCTTCACCCAGAACTTAACAGCATTCAACATTAAAAAAGGGCTTAAAATATTTGGCACACAACGGGCTTGTGGCTCCCTCTTAAGTCTGTGAGATACGTTTCAAATTTTTAGAAGCATGCTTTCGATGGCATGAGAATTGAGTGCCAATTCTTAAAATGATTATCAGTCCAACTAGATCTTCATGTCATCCTCTCATCTACAACTGTGCTGTAAGAACTAGATCAGTGTGTACTGAAAAAATAAGCAAACTCTATAACCATGCAGGACAAACATTAAGAAAACCACCCCTAACAGCATATAATGAATAAATGGATATGACAAGCAATCTGGTGAGTTTAAGAAGGAAAATACAGGCTGGGCAAATCTTATTTAAAGAAAATGTACATAATGTGAGATACTCAACTCATGGAAATAGAGGGGAATTTATGGGGTAAGTGTCTGTTTATCAAATGCATTGACAAATTTGTTCCTACATTTTTAAAGCCTCATTCTTAATCACAATACTATAGGAGAAAAGCTGACAGAGTTGGGGGCAGTGTATCATCAGTTTAGAGTCATTGATTTCCTACAAGTGCTCCAAGTCCAATCTCTCCTGAGGTCTGATGACCTTTAATCTGGTGCCAATTTAGTGCTGAG